AAGCACCAAAAAACGACGAAAACCCCCGAAAGAACAACTAAAAAAACAACAAAGGAGGCAGCAAAAGAAGCATCAAAAAAGCAATGAAAGAAACACCGAAACAGCGATAAAAAAAGAACTGAAAAGAGAGGTATTTGATATTAAATTACTGAATAAGATAGGTGGCGCGAAGCGCCACCTATCGTACTAGTATAATATAAAATAATTTTATATTCTATAATATCAATATTATAATTAAATAACTAGCTTATATATAAAGTTTAATTTTTAAATATATAATTAAGGATTTATTAGAAAATCAAATATATTATAATATTAAATATATATTTATAAATAAATAAATTGCTAAAAATTTTTATATTTATAAATTAATTTAATATAAATAAAGTAAATATACTTAAACTATTAAATCTAATTCTTTATTCTAATTGGTTGCTTAAAAATTTTTTAAATATATATATTCATTGAATATTCAGCGAATTATTTGGTGAAAAAATTAAATATTCGAATATACAATTTGGTGAAAAAATTACAATTCGAATATTCGAATATTCAATGAATATTTGAATATATTATTCACCGGATCAGAACTCTAAATAGTTGAATTAATTTATTATTTTATTATTAATATATAATATAAATTATACATATTTTAGTAGATGCATAAAACTAGTTTGATATCAAATTATAATTTTAGCAACTCAAGTTTAAACCTATGCCCTCTTTATTTATTTTATTCTATTTATTTTATTCTATCTATTTATTTTATTCCATTTTACTTTATTTTATTCTATTTTATTTATTTATTTTATTCTATTTCATAATTACCTTTAAAGTTTCTACTTTATTTACATATCTGATTCTGTGAACAAAGTTATATACAGAATGAATAATCATAAGAAAAAAAATATAAAAATAGACATTTCATTCTAAACTTAAAGAGAACACAACATCAAGAAGGTAAAATTCTAAATACTATATCATAACTTATATTGCATTACTGAATTAATAACACTACAACACATACAGATCCTTGGTTATAATAAATTAAAAAGATAAGAAATTTTAATTTTTAAATTTTCACTGGTTATTGTTATTGATATATTGATATATATTTATGATAATAATCTTTTTTGAAAATTAATAGCATCACAAAATTTAGAAATTATCTATAATATATTTAGCATTAGTGAAAATAAACTACAAGAAATAAATGAAACAAAAGAAATGCTAGTTGTAAAAGCAAGGAGATATTTGGTATTATATTAATCAAGGTCCTAGTTTAGATCAGGCAGAAGCAAAGAATTGCGCACTTATTCTAAGTCCTAAGATTTTATTATTAGATGAAGCAACATCAGCACTAGATTCTGGTTCTGAAAAGGCTTTAGATACTGCTGCAGTGGACAGAACAAGTGAGTTTGATTGTATCTCATATACTGTATTTTTTGTTTAGACTTGTACGAAACTAACTAGATTTTTTTAAAAAAAAAGCTTTGACTGTAACACATCGATTATCAACAATTCAACATGTTTGATGTTATAGTGATAAAGGATGGTAAAGTACATGAACAAGGCACACATCAAGAACTGTTGTCAAGAAATTATACTATGATACAAGAGCAAAATAATAATTGTTGTGGATTATCGTGAAATAAGATCATCGTGAAATTTGGAGGTCTCAGTTTTGAAAATATAAGCCCTACCAAAATCACCTATACTCTTTTATTAATAATAAATCTAACCCTAAATAAATCATAACTATAAAAAAAAAAGCCTCAAAAAATTTAAAAATCGTACATAAAATTATAATTAATCATCAACTGGTTTATTTAATAAACCTTATCTTACAATCTGCATAAATGTATTGACTGCTCCGAAAAATTTACTTTAACGATAACTTATAGTTTGTCAAAGAAAGTTTATTGTTTCTTCAGTTGTTTTAATTATTTGTATTGTTTCTTTAGGAGTTGTTGGTATTTTTCTCCTTTTGATATATCCTTGTGGGAGTTTTTCTTTTTATTGAGAGATTTTTTCTTTTATTTCAGTAATTAGAAATATTTGTTTATTCTGTAATGCTTCAAGCAGTTTTTTAAATAATTTTTGAATTTCGTTAAATTCATTAATTTGATTCAGTGTTATTTGTTTCCAGTCTTGGTTCATCTAATTCTGTTTTCGTGGTATAACTAAAAAATGATAATGTAATATGATTAAGTTGTTTAACTTGTGATAACGATAATTACTCTCTTGTGTTTAGGCTAAATACCTTTAACTTTAGTCATTTAGTCCCTTTTTTATTTTAGGTTATTTCGTTGGTAAATGTAAATATTTTAGGATCAGGCAGAAATTTAAACATATTTAGCCCCAAATTATTTAAATTGCAAGCATTTCATAATATTAACAATAAAATTTTTCTAGTTCTAGATCATGAAGACGAACATTAGATATCGAAATTTGATTGGCTAATGTAATTGTAAACTTTAAATTTTGCATTTAACCATATTTGGTTAGTTAATATTCATACGTAACATTTAATGGCATTTATTTTAAACTTTTAGCTAAGCTTATAAATTTCGGTTCTTTTTATTTTATAAAAATTTATGATTTGATTGGTTAATCAACATGTGATATTTTTCACATGATAAAATTTATAATTTTAATTGGCCAGACTAATATGCATGATCGGGACCATCATTTCTTTATTTTAGGATATTGTTATCTTGAACAGTAAAATAATGTTCGTCAATTGTTATGAATAGTAAAAAAATTTCATTCCTATTAATGAACAAATAAAATTTTAGTTCGAATAGGGAGTGAATTAATATTTAATAGCTAAGTAGAATGTTTATAAATTTAAAATTAACGTTAAAAAATGAACTTTAATACATCTTTTATTATTAATCCTGCCTTTAAAGGTCGACAATTTGAATTCGATATTATTGAAGAGCTGATAAAAAAAAAATACAATGCATATATACAGAGTGAGTGCTTTTCATTGAGTTATTTGTAGAGTCATTGTGTATCTGAAGTTACGCTGCCACGCCTGTATAAATAATCTGGGAATTGAAAGCGCATCGTGGCCAACTGTTTTGGCAGTGAATGTTCTTTCCAGTTTCAGGAGTTTTGGAAAAGACGCATGCTCTGCCAGAATTCATGGTGAATAGGATGCACAAACATAAGTCTGGTAATCTCTTATATTTTTGATGATAATGACACATATACTCATTACTTTTATTATTTTAGTGGCAGTAAAGATGGAGGAGTTGATATTTGTGTGTATATTTATGGTACCAAATTTGTAATTCAGTGTAAAAATTGGATAAAAGAAATAGGTATTTAGAGGAGTGGCTGATGTTGAAATTTTTGTTTCGATTTGAAGCTTTAAATTCACACATATCTTTTATTAATAATCCTAACATGAAATCTAATCTACCGCTATTAAAACTTTAAAATTTTATCACAAATATATACTGGAATAATTTATCCAGGTAACCCTGATAATAATATAATTCAGGAAATTATAAAAAGATTATTTGAATATACTATATATATTTACAGTATAAACTTATAATTACAGGTCCTTCCATCATTCGATCATTGGATTGAACACTTACCCAGCAACCAAATGGGACCATAGGTGTTGTGGTGGTTCCAGATGAGAGCAATTTTACCTTTAATTGTAAAGAAAGATCTAGAATTTCAGTATATAAGATCATTCTCACAAAAAAAAGTAATATTTGCAGCGATCTTGAATTTGCTAGTCGAAATATTCTCTTTGTTTCTTGTTGTAAATATTTTTTTATTTCCTTTTTTTGTACTAACTTAGTTACTTTATTTGTTTGTATGTATTTAAAATATTCGCAA